AAAACTCCGTCCCAGTCATGCTCAAGGTGCGTCCAGCCTTCTGCCCATGCGTGGCGAAGGTCACCTCTGCTCACAGCGTCGCTCACGTTGGCCGCGGATGTCACTCGCTGCCAAGCGGGGCGGAGCGACAGCGACTCGATATGTCGCCACGTGTGCTGCAGCAGGCAGTTGATCGAATCGTCTTTGCCAAAGCCTTTGGACAGTGCGTGGCGCGCTGGCTCGTTGTCGACGAACATGACGATGTATTTGTCCAGGTGCTCCTGCAAGGCTATCAGCGGCAAGATTTGCGCCACGATCTCTAACATGTATATGTAGGCGCGGCGGCTGGCAAACTCTCGTACAAACCAGTAAGGGACGGTGCCGTTGGCGTAGAGCGTGCGACCACGAATTGTGGCCACGAAGCCCCATCCGTTCCGCAAAGTTTCGGGCGGCGTCCTGGCCCAGTTGGGGATGTCGTCAGCGCCTGGTTTCCAGTCCTTGTCGAACAGGTTGAAGAAGGCGTCGGCGTACACCACCGAGTGCGGCTCTGGCTCGAAGGGAAGCGTCCTGGGCGCTGCGTGCTTCAAGCTCCAACGAAGAAGCCCGATTCCATGCAGCAGTTGCTTGTTGAGGCTCCACTGTTGGTTGTCTCTGCCATGGCCCGTGAGCTGTGCTCGGCGAAACAAAGGTCGGAGCGCTGCGGAGTGCGACTTGCCCAAAACAGACTGACAGTAAAACTGAAGTCGACCCGCTAAGCTAGATGCCTCGTTGGGTGGCAGCCTGTTGGACGTGAGGATGCTCACGAGGTCCTCGTCCAAGCGTTGTCTGCGCGCAGCGGTGCCACTGACCTTGACGAAGCTGTCGTGCACGGAGATCTCGACTCCCTGAATGACCTGTGTCGTGTGCGGCGGTTGTTCCTTAGACTGCTTGAAAGAAAAACCTAAAGCCTTGCACAGTCGCTTGGAGCACTCGAAAGAGGACGAGGCGAGGTCGGCGTCCTCGCAACTCCCGAAATCATCCACGAAATGCAGCGCTGGCGTGAGCAAGCAAGCGCGGCATAGCCATGACATCAGGTCGGCGATGCGACAGTAGGCCCATACGGAAGCCACCGACCCAAACATCAGCACTGTATGCCGCCAGAGGGTAATGCCATGTGGCGTCGGTAATATGACCCATGTATGGTCGGGATCTTCAGCCGCCAGTTGGCGATAGGCGGCCTCGTGGTCCAGGCCCCATATGAGCAGCTGCGCTTGCGGGTGCTTTTGTTTGATGGCGACCGCGAGCTGAACATAGGCAGAAATGTCGTGGTAGGTTGGGCTGTCCTTTGCACCGACCGTGGCGTTGGCGAAAGAGCGTCTCCAGTCCTCTGCCCTCCTCACTTTGGGCTTGCCGTCAGAGCCAACCTGGTGCACAGCGAAGGCGAAACAGGTGGGCTTGTGGGCTGTTGGCCCCTGCGCCAGCTTGCTGGTGTGAGAGAACGTCGTCAATGGAACTGCTTGTTTCGGCCACGATCCCGGGCTGCTAAAGGGGCCTTCCATTCGTCCCTTGGTGACGTCGCCGGCGATCTCGCGGGCCATGGCTTCCCAGCAGGGGTCGACGCGACAACGGCGAAGCTTGTCCTTGACGTAGAGCTCGTTCTTCTGCAGGAACTCGTCGATCGGCATGGGGTCGGCGTAGCGAAAGTCATTGCGTGTTTTCCAGCCCAATCCGGGTGCGAGGGGTCCTAGAAGACGAAATCCGTGCGTTAGCTCCCTGAAAATATCCCTGTCCTGCCAGCCGAAGAGGTTGCACACTTTTTCCAGAGCTGGAAGCTGCAAGGAACATGTGCGAGTCTCACTGCGGTAGGCCTTCTGGACGTGCGGTGCGAGGCTCAGGTACCAGGCTTCCGTTTCTTCCTGCAGGTCGTCGACAAGGTCCTCAATCTGTCGGGCCACGGCGTCGCGAAGCTCCGTGAGGTGTGGCCGCATTCGTGACCACACTTGGAGCCACTGCCTCAAACCGGGCTCGATCAAGGCATCCCTTGCGTCCGGATGAGGCATGACGCGTGACTGTCGCCAGTGCTCGTCGGGGTCCTCCAAGTGCGAGAGGTCGAACTCGTCGTAGTCACCTGGTCCTGGGCCGAGCAGAGGGGATTTGCCCTGCCATAGCGCGGCTGTAATGTCAAGAGGCGTGCCCCCGAGGGGGTTAAGTTCTGCTGCCGGCGTTGGCGGCGTGGCTGCGAACACTGCCATGATGAACATTAATCTTGCTGCGCCCGCGTGCCAACCATTTGCTATGGCTTTGTGGCGGGCGTGGTCTGGGAGCGATGCCGACCAGCCTTTAGGCAAGTGGTGCCATTGCTCCTTGACGTTGGCGGGAGGAAGCACCAAGCGCTGGTCACGATCCATCATCATGACGCCTGACTCATAATGCCACGGAGCGTAGCGCCTCTTGTCAGCGAGCCAGCGTTGTGTTGCCTCCGAGCTGATCTTGCCTTTCGAGCTCCGCGGTGCTGGGCGTCCTTGCGGGTCGTCGGAAGGTGTGGTCAGACACGGCACTGGCTTGGCTTCCTCGGTCAGGCACCGTGGCAGGGTGAGGCCCTCGGTGTCGAAAGAGTCCGGCGTGTCCTTGTCCACGTCGAAGTGCACTCGCGGGATCCCCTGCATGGTTGTCCATCGAAGGCTGAAGGGACAATCCTTGCGGTGCGCGATCTCCTGCCAGGGCACGCGACACCACCAGACTCTGGGACGGGAAATCGTCCCAACCCAGCATGCGCTCCACCTTTCTCATATCCGCCCTGTTCTGCGGAATCACATTTTCCACGAGCAAGATGGCGCGGCTGCGGCCCCATGACTTCTCTGCAGACTGGATGAGCTGGGCGAAGCGTGTAAATTTTGAGCCCTCCTGTCCGGATCCTGGAAAAATCGTGACAAGGCGGTCCGCCCACTATCACGATGCGGGCTCGACCGGACGGGTCGAGCTCCTCGACGAGCTTCCGGATGGTTGCTGCGTCCTCCTGCTCGAAGTCTCCGCGAGGCGTCACTTGCGGGAAGTGCTCGGCCCCCAAGATTTCCAAGTCCTTGTCGATCTCCCATGATGCCCCCGACCACTGCAGGTTGTGCTCCTTGCAATAGTTGTCGCATACCATGAAGGCTGTCCCCAAGCCGTCAAAGAAGCTCAACATCACGAAGTCGGGCGCTGTGCGGTTGTGCGCTCGAGCCACTGCCTCGCGACTCTTCAGGGAGACTGTGGGCGGCTTGGTAGGACTGAGAGGTGGACCTTGTTCACGACGGCGAGGGAGCGGCGACCTCGAGCGAGCGCAAGTTGAAGGCTCGACTATTGCTGTGGCAAGGTCGGGTCCACCCTCATGGGATGGCCCGTGCTGTCCCTATTCGTGATCGCGGTGGTCGCGATGATCACGGTGCTGTCCGTCGCCTTGTTGCCAGGACCGCCAGTACTTCTGGTCGTTGGCGCGGTAGCGGTTGTCGTCGTTGCGGCGCCAGTAGTCCTTGTCCTCGTCGTGCTGGCGTTGGTAGCGCTGTCCTTGCCACTGTCCGCGACCTTTGCCTCGTCCACGACCGTTGCCTTTGTCGCCCCCTTTGGTGTACGAGCGGTAGGGCTGCCAATCCTTCCCTTTGCCATGTCCGCGACCACGGCCTCCGCGACGATCCAGCCAGGGTTGCTCGGTTTGGCGAGGCGCTTTGGTCGGGCGCTCGGGCTGAATGTCTCTGTTCATGGCGTCCTGGAGGGCCTGGCTGTCAACGATGATCTCGTCTGCGATCTCCTTGAAGGGAGTGGCTTTCCGAAGCGCAAGCGCGATGCGCCAGGATGTGTTCTCCCAGTGGAGCTTCAACTGCTCGATCTTGTTGGGCTTGCTGCGTACCAAGCGTTGCCAGTATTCAAAGTAGCGATCCAAGTCGTGCTCGGGCGCATATTCGATGAATATCAGCGCCATGCGGTTGGCCGTCAAGCAGTCCAGGAGAGCTGTCTGCGACTGCGGGCGCCAGCGATCCTCGGGCTCCGTCTCCAACTGCAAGTCCGCGTTCACGACCAAGGTCGTCGCTTCCTGCGTGCGAGAGCGCTTCTTGGAGGCGAGGTTGTTGGGCTCGCCCGACGCCTTGAAATGGCGGTGCTGCACGATCTCTTCCAGCGGCACCGAGCAGTGTTGTCCGTTCTTGGCGTCGGCGATGAGCTTAGCCAGTGTCGCCTCGGCGCCGAGGAGTAGCGTCTCAGGAAATCTCCTCGCGATGCCCTTGATCTGGACTGCCTCGTATTTCTTAATCTGTTGCTGCCAGTATCCGGGAGGCAGCTCCTTCGTCTTGGTCGAGGAGGAAGACGAGGTCGTTGTGGTCGTAGCCGTCGCTGCGGGCGTAGCGGTCGTGTGTGCTTCCCGACACTTTTTCCAAACGTGCCGGAGGCGAGCGCGTGCCACCGGAAACTCTGTTGCGGCTAGTTCCAAAACTGTCCCGTCATGAAGATCCACAGGCTTGCGAAGCTGTGCGACAACTGCTTCGTCGAATTCCTCGATCGTCTCCCCGAGCTCGGCGAAGATGGCCGTGGTCGTCACGCCGATGTTCGTGATGTACTTCCTGAGGCTCTCGGCGGCGCCCGCGGAAGAGAACAGCGCCTGCAAGGAAGGGTCCATGGGTCAGGCGGGGCGGGCGAGGGCTAAGAGAAAAAGCCAGGGCTGCGGGTGACCAGACAACGGCAGCAAAGTTTCAGCTCGCACAAGAAGACAATCTCGAGCGGAGCGAGGCCGCTTTTGCAAAAATGCGCTGCGTGTCGACGCATCTCCTCAGCTAGAAGATGAGCTGGCGCTGTCGGTGGATTCGTCCTCAGACCGAGCCGGCGCATGCTCCAACTTAGCAGTCGAGGCTGCGGAGCTCTCCGGAAAACACTTCCGACACAATTCCTTGGAGCCGTCGTCGTGGGCTCTGGTGAACTTGGCGTAACCGTACGCCCAACCGCACTTAGCACGCCATTGCACTGGCGGGCGAGATGACTCCTCAGGATCGCGAGCGTGCGCCGTGGACTTGCAGACCAGGTCCGGTCGGTCTTGTATTGCCTCGAGCCTTTCCGCGATGCCGTCGAGGGTCCTCAGGAGCGAGGAAATCTGCGTATCCTCCTTGGCGCTGCCGGCCGTGCGGGGCTTCTTGGCCGCCTGGGCCGGCGGCTCTTGCGTCTCGGCCGATGGCTGCACTAAGGTCCACTGTCGTAGGTCCGGTTCCTTGGCTGTGTCTGTGATGGCCTGGCTCCGCGCTGGCGTCATAGGCGGCGCAGACGGCGCGACCGGGTAGAGGTCCTCGAGCTCGGTTTCTTGAACGTAGCGTTCGATTGCCCGGCTCCCCCATCTCCCAAGGAGCATAATGGTCGACACCGGTATGCGCATGCGGCACAGGTGTTGTGCGCCCGACACTCTAAGGCAGTGACCCCCAAAGCGCTGCACGTCGGGCTCATCCGGGGCTCCTGGTCTGGAGAGGTTGACGCCGGCTGACTGCAAGACGTCGTGGATGAGCTCGATGGTCTGGTGCTTGCTGAGCGGAGCGCCCGGTGTCGGTGAAAAGAGAAAGTCCTCTGGATCCACGGAGCACTCATCGGCGATGCGCAGCGCTGCGTGGTAAGGGCAGATATTTTCAGGAACCACACCACAGTAGCAAGAGTGCTTGCGATGCACCAGGCTGCCCACTGTGTCGGTTTTGCTCGATGCCAGCGTAAGCGTGACTTGTTTGGCGGCGGTGTCCACTGCCATGTGTTTCACGCGGAGATTGGCGAGCTCGATTTCCCGACATAGGAACCACGATCCCAAAACCACCATGCCATGTGCCAGTGAGAAGCTCGCGCCCTTGGAGGTGAGGTCGAAGTCCAAGACATCGAGGCGGAAGGCGTCCTTAGCGGCGTTGGCCCCCACGCCGCGCTCGATGGAGCGGATGGCGTCCCGAATCGCCAACTCAACGGCGGCCGGTGCCGGCATTCCGGTCACCCGAATGTGTTCCTTGCGGGCTCGGGAGAAGTATTGCGCGGAGCTGCGATACCCCCCGAAACGAAAGCTTGCGCCAACCATCTCGATCAGCTCGGGAGTCAGCGGGATGGGCTCTTGTTGCCAAGCAGAACAGATCTTGCACCATGTGGTCCACCTTGCGTCCAGAGGAGCCCGTGCTGAGCGAGCGTAGATGTTGTCGCGAGAATCCTGTAGGGCATGCTGTGCGTTCGCCGGCTTGGCTGCGGCTATCGCTCGGCTCAGGAGCCCCCTGCTGAGGTGCGGATCTGCGGCAGGTCATGGCGGGCTGGAGCCCCTGGGCCGTGACCGTCGCTGCGTGGCGTCCCCGCACGAGCTTCCGCGAGGGAGCCCGGCATCTGGTGCGCGGCCGGTTCCAACTGCACCGCGGCCATCTTCGGGCGGTAGCCAGAATGCTCGATCAAGACCGTGATGTGTGCGGCGAGGGTCGGAGAAACCGATTCAATGCGTTGGGCAGCGTCGTGGATGCTCTCTATGAGCTCGTCGCTCAGCAGATCCACGACTTCGGTCCCAAGGCCCGCGTCGAAGCAGGCGCGAATCAAGTCGTTAAAGCAAGTGAAGTCGTATGTCGTCATGGCGCGAGCGGGCGTGCGCAGCGCTACACACAAGTGTGCTCACACAAAACCAACCAACCTCGAGAGGAGAGCTGCGGCTCCCCGGCACCCTGCGTCTGGCGTCTGAGAGAGGTACCTGTCAGCGTGGCTTTGCGGGGGGCTCGGGCAGGGACAAGTAGACAAGTACAAGTGCACAAGCAGTCACTGAAGCCCTCCTATGCAAACGCACGAACAGAAGCGAAGCGAGGCGAAACGCGGGCCGGCCGAAGGCGCCTCCGAGATGCGACCCGAGACGAAGGCCCCTCCCCGCGACCGACGAGGTCCGAGCCCACCACACGTCCGAACGGGCGAAGCGAAGCGAAGCGAGGCGAGGCTCGGCACTTGCACTGACAGGCAAAAGACATGCGAGTGAACATGTGGACACAGCACAAGCAAAGCCCTCACAAGTGGCATCAACTGTCCCAGTGCAGACCCTAAGCTCACACAGCCGGGAGGAGAGAGTCAACGAAGGAGGGAGGCCTAAGGCGCGAGAAGAGGCACTCCTGTCAGCGTGGCTCCAGCGAGGAAGAGAGCAAACGAGAGAGGGGAGACCTAGCTCACGTGAGGGGAGTGGCAGCGCGCACTCACTCCTGTGGGTTAGGGCCGGGGGAGCGGGTCATCGCAAAAAGGGAAGATTCATCGAAAAACATTGGTCGGCCCCCGTGGCCATCAGCGGTCGCGGGCGGTGCGTGCGCGATCGCACGGGGAGCAAAAGTGATGCTTGTGTACTGTACCGGCCCTGGTCTGTATAATGGGCCTAAAGCAGCGACCCAGGCACACGTTGGTCCGAAGGCGCTTCGGGGTTTCACACCCGAGGTTACAATAGCCTTGGACGTGCGCGTCCGCGTGGCGTGAGGGCGCTGGCTGTGGCGGAACTCCCGGTGGCAATGTCCAAATACTGTTCGTCTCATTCTGCAAGACATTGCAGGGGTCCGGGTACCCAGCCCACCTGTCGAGAGCGGCGCGTTCGGCATCGCGGTCTGCTCTCTCCTTGGCTTTGCGCTCTGCCCTGCGCCGTTCGCGTTCCACCACATCAGGTGGAGGGAACTTCGGCGGCGGCAAGGGGGCGTTGTCCGCTGGGTCCCCTGCGGAGGCAGTCTGCGCGGCGTCGGCTGACGAGGCAGCCTGCTGAGAGCCGCTTCCGGTCGCGCCAGCGTCGCCTGTCCCCTCCGCGGTTGTCGGCGAAGGCCCAGTCTGTGTCTCCATCGCGGCGGCCTGCGAGGCGAGAGCGGGCTGCCCGGCATCGTCATCCTCCTCGTCGTCGCGGGGCCATGGAGTCACAGTAGGCGGCTCGTCGTCGTCGGGGTCGCTGTCCAAGTCTATAAGGTCCCCCTGGCGCTCCTCGGACTCACTCGAGAGGGGCGTGGTCGGCACCGGCGGGAACACCTGCGGCGCGGGGGACGTGGACATGTGGTCCTCAAGGTCCGGCACGATCAAGTTGAGGTAGACCAGCGAGGTGTCGATCGGCGGCGGCGTGGCTGTCGAAGCTTTGGCTTTCGCTTCGACGACCGGCTGTTCCACCATCAACTCCAAGTCCTGCGCAGTGGTGTCCTCGAAGGGCGTGGCGAAGCAGGCCGCTAAGGCTGGGTCGGGCGGCACCACTGGAGGGCGCTTCCCAATCTGAGCCACCACTCCGGGCTTCAAGGTTCCTGGCGCCGCAGGGGGCGTTGAGGGCTTGGCGGGCGGCGTCTTGCGTGGCACTGTCGCCGCCTTGCCGGTGGCTGCTGCCGCAGCTCCCCCGCTCTTGCCGAAGGGGTCGTCGTCCGTGCCGTCGTAGGAGGAGGCGTGGTGCTGGTAGAAGACGATCCAACCACAAACGCCGGCTGCGTCGGCGTGGCGGGGTCCTTGGGCTGCGCCATCTTTCCCACACCCTTGCTCGCCTGCTTGCTGGTCGGCCCCAAACCAGGTGCGGGCGAAGGCGAAGGCGAGGGCGTAGCCATCGAAGCGGAAGGGTGGTGCTGCTGCAGAATGGCGTCGCGTGCCTGAATCCTGGCGCGGTAATGGCCGTCAAGCCCCATCAGCACCCCATGGGACAGCCCCAACATCCGCCGCGACGACTCCACACCAGCTGCCCGCAAGAAAACGCGGATGTCGTCGTCGCTTAAGCTTCCCAACCCCTGGAAGACCATAGCCGCGGTGCGGAAGTCCGGCTGCTGCGAGGCGGCAGGCGTGTCTCCGGAGCTCCCTGCACCTGATCCAGCCATGGCTCAGCGGGGCGAGGCGAAGCTATGCAAAAAGCTGAAAGGAATCCTTGAGCGACCAGCAGCTGCGTATTGACTTGCTGCTGTCGCTCGTACATGTCACTCCGTGCAACAAGTTGCACTACACGACAACTAATCATGGCAGCCGGCTTGACGGCTTGACGGAACACGCCGACTCGACTGTGACTGAGAAAACGCGAGCCCTGCCTGTCAGAGCGCGCCAGTGAGACACCGTTCGTCTCAGGCAGCGGCCACTTTGAAAAGCATCCACATGAAGCGTATCCCGAAAGAAGTAACCTCGCCAGAGAGAGGCGATCTAGGGAGCAAGTTGTGTCCATGTCCCTCAGATGCCGACAGGCACAGAGCCGAGCATGTCCCAGGCAGCCAAGGCGGCCTAAGAAAGCAGTCTCGGCCCGGCCCTAAGAAAACGACGCTGAGCTCCCTAGGGCCCTGAGGGGAAGTCGTAGGACACCTCGGCGACTCCTTGAGCGTGCCGCTTGGCCTCTCGCGTAACAGAGAGCGCCACAAGGGCGACGTACAACGCCTCTAGGGCCACTAGGGCTGCTACACCGTCCAGGCCTGCTGCCATCGTTCCTCCCAAGAGCTCCAGTATGACACTGGCGAGTTGACGGATGTCGACTTGGCAGGTAACATGACCTCGGCATTTTCGGAAACATAGCTGGACCGGCGGCATGTTCTGACACCCCCTCTTAGGCTGGGGCGGGCTTCACCCGCACCAGCCTGGGCACGACGTCCTCCTGTTTCAGAGCATGACACTGCAGCTGTCCCACGGGCAAACCACTTCACCCCAACTGGAATGCACATGCGCCTCCTTTTTCTGAGACATCATGTACGCACTGTAGAACCAAGCCTTGAGAAAAGCGTGATGGTCCTGCCACCATCGGTGCTGTAGATACTGTAGACTGTTCAGAATGCAAGAAAGCATGCTTCAAGTCTCCTCCGCAATAACGTCTCCATCCCAACACTCAACATCTCTGGCAAGTTCAAGCGGTAAGCTGTATGCACTGAAGACCTGGCGTGTCGACAATCACCTGCATTTACCAGCATGCTGTTCACCGGACACTGGTGTCTGCTCAGCCGGGAGTGCCATGTGATGCCATCCGTACATCACACTGCTGACGCCCCCAAACTCCCACAGTGAGCTGATGTACCTGTGCTGGCGACTAGCGCTCACTGTGACGTGGTTAGACCTTCGCTGGGCTGCACACCCCCAGACGCGAGAAACGACCGGACCTTCGACTGGAAACAGTTGGCAAAGGTTCAACAGTGCTGTCAAACGCCTTGCTCGGGATGCTCAGCACGGGACTCTCGTAGAAGTTTCGCCATGGCAGCTGAGGAGCCTGTGCGTAAATGACCCATGTGTGCTTTGTACTGATAATCCCTCATTCTCAGAAGAATATTCAGCCATGCCTGCCACATAGTGTGCAAGTGGCTTTTGTCCTGCGCCACTGCGGATTTGTCACGCCTAGTATGTTCCCTGAGGATGGTTGAACTCCTGGTTAGCTCGGAGCGTGCACAACGCCATCCGGGATCCGTCCTCCTTCAACTTCACGAACTCGGAGCTAATGTACTCGAAGTAATTGGGATGCATGATGACATCTGCATCGCACACAGTGAGGACCTGCTTGCAGAACTTTTTGCAGATGGTCATCCACTAGAAGCTGCTGGCAAGAGTGTTGATTGTGACCCAGACGGCTGCAAGTGCATATGTAGGTTTATCTGCATGTGGAGGCTTATAATCTAGGTGCATGTGTACATTGAGTGCTTGTTTCTACGCGCAAATGCAATACTTCTGCATGCAGCTACATTACAATGGACATGCGCATGTGCACCTGCACCAGCCCGTGCCCCCATTATCCGTGCATCACGTACTTGTCCGAAGATAGTATAAGTATGCTCTTCGGGGGCTCTGGTGTTGCAGGGTTTGATCTCCTAGAGTGCACTCAATCTTGCACTGGGTAGCAGGACTTGACACACACACAGACACACGATGATATGATATAACATAACATAAAATACTATGACATAATAATGTACTGTTATATACTATTGTACTCTAGGTAGGTGGATGTCCGACAGATGGATGGATGGCTGCATGGATACATGGTGCATAGATTGCATAGATACATGGATAGACGCAGAGTGGATATTCAACCGTCGAGCAAACCACCCCAATCAAAGTGAGCTGCTCAGATCGAAGCAGATGCATGCTTGTGCAACCACACACTCGAAACAGACTACATCGAAAGGAGCAAATTATGCCCAAAACCTCAGCAAGGAAAGAATCCACCTGTCGTATAGTTTGTAGTGATCCCGCAACAAGATTACAGCAGCCACGCGAAATCCTCTGAGAATCTGAGAGTGCCACATCTCTGTCGGAAATCTTGTTCTCCTTACAGACCTGCTTCCAGCAGCAATGCTTGTTTTAGGGGCAGAGGGAATAGAATCGATGGAGGGCGGCGGCTTGGGGTTTAGTGCCTGCTTGACAGCCCATTTGACATTGGAAGCTTTGCCCGGCAACTCTGGACACTCGGTTCCATCCAGATGACGCTCCTGGGCCACGCACACACACACACAAGCGCTTTGGATCCGGCACATACCAGCAGTCTACCCTGCTGGCTGTCCTGCAGTTTCTGAGGATGATGAGTGGAAAAGATCTTGAAGAACTTGTCCTTGAACTTGGCCTTTGCAAAAACAAGCAATGCAAGTCGTTGAAATGCCGGATAAAAACACTCGCGATCGACCTCCATCTTGGCAGCCTTGTCCCGGCCCTCCGCTTCCCTGTCCTGGCAGACTCAGTTTACGGTCGCTAGGGTTTCACGTCGAGGCTTTGGCTCTGGAGGTCTGTGGCTCAGGATGGTCTTGGGCTAAGGGCATAGAGTCTAGAGTTTGGGTTTAAGGGTCTAGGGCTTGGGTTTGGCGTTAGGTGTCCTGGGGCAAATGGTGTAACCTTCTGCCTGGTGATCTCAAGACCTGGGATGAGCTTAGCCGCTTAGCTAGGTCAATTGACACATGCAGTCCTCCATGGCAAGCACCACGATAAAGTGTGCAGATCCACGTGCCTGGCAACCGCATTTGAATCACATCTCAAGTCATAGATGATTCTAATTGTTGAGGCGAAAGCCCGAAGCCTCAGAAAGGCTTTCTAGCGTGGTCTCCAGGATGCCTGAATCCTCCTGGCAATGGCGGGGGAAAAAACCTCTCAGAAAGCCCCGTGCAAGAAACACGAAGCACGACGCAGTCCTTGTAGTTTGGAAGAACGATGGTGTGTCGCACATTATCCTTGCAACTCTCGAAGGCAATGCCAGCAAATCACACGGCCCCCATGTCGTGTCGAACACTGATCGGCCTGGCTTTCCACCTCACACGGGCCGGAGCTGGCTTCCACCCTTGCCTTTTCAAGCTGCTCCTTCCGCAACGAGAGAGAAGTCTCTGCTTTGCCCACACAGAACGACAGCAGTCCTCTGCAGCATCGACGCCGAGCATGCAAAAGACAGCAGTGGAAACGACCCACAGCCACATTGCTACGTTTAGAGTAGCCGTGACTGTGAGAAGTAACACTGCATTCCTGTCATGGCATTCCAAGTTATGGATGTTCGGTCCAGATGGTGGATGTTGGCTTCAGGCACTGTCCGGAGGGATACAGATGCAGATGCACTTGCCAGAGGTACCAGAAGACGCCGAAAATCAGCAAACCAACCTGAGCTGGTCCGTCGTCGGCCGCGCACAAGCTCCAAGCAGACTACAAACAACAGCCTAGGAACAATTGTCACGAAGACGAGGAAGGGCAAGCTCCGTGCTACATGTGCAGCCGCCCGCGCCTGCAAACCCATGCATTCCGCAGTATGCAGGAACTGGTTCTGAGAAACATAGTCGGGATGACCTCATGGATGTTGACCTTGTAGAACGGATAGACAGATTGCTCATCTCTGCCACCTCCCATCAAAGATGTCCGCCTGCAGGACGCAACTGCAGAGTCATGGAACAAAGCTGCCCTTCTCGCGAAACCAAGCCGCCCACTGGGGGGATTCAATATCGGACACAATCTTGGTTCGGTATCAAGCATGGTGAGCCAGAACGGCTCTGACAAGCGAATCTGCTCAGGATGTTTCCAAACCCAGCTTCCAGGGAGCAAGGCTTTCCCGGCGAGTCGGCGAAGGCTCCGCAGATTGAAACTCTACTAGATGCCTGTCACATGCTGTTCCGAATCCCTGCGTCTCATTTAGGCCTTCACACCGAGTTAAGGCACATACCTGTTGGGAGATCTCTTGTTCAGGTAGCTGCAATCACTGGCCTTGGTGAAACATTCTAGTGCCGGCTTCAGGCCCGTCAGTAGGGACCTGAACAGGGCGAGCTTGACTCAGGACACTGGGCGTCCCAAAGACCACTCAAACCTCCCTGGCCCTTTGTAGAGGGAGGAGAGGGAGGAGCCTCGGAAGTCTGAAAAGTAGTCTTTTTGCAGGTGCGGGCCTGGACGCATGCCCTTGCCGCCCTTCTTCGCGAAGCTAGAAAATCCATCAAAGCCTTTCTCTGCGCCACTGCCCTTGCCGAAGTCATTGCCGCCCTTGCCGAAATCATTGCCGCCCTTGCCGAAGTCGTTGCCATAGCCGCATCCAAAGCCTTTACCACCATCAAATCCAAAGCCCTTTCCACCATCTCCTCCAAATCCCTTCGGTCCATCACCTCAGCTCAAAAAAGTCTTTGCTGCACGAAGCGGCGCGTATTTGGACAGGCTGTACCATTTTCGATGTCACTTCAAACATCTTCAGACCATCTCTCCACGCAGCAGAGCAACAACTCACAGCAAACGCAGAATCTCATGCGAGGCAAAAGCCAAACGCTTTGCCCAGCAGCTCTTGCCACCAAAGCATCCCTTCTTGCCAAAACCTTTTCCGTCTGCACCTTTTGCATCACCTGACCCGCGCAGACATGCCATCCAGGGCCCCGGTGACGCTGAGGCTCTGAGGTCAATGCCTAAACCTAGGCCCATGGGCATGGGAGGGGGCTTGCCGAGCAGAGCCTGACGACAGGGAATCTCTGATTCTTTCCATGATGCTATTCTGTTTCACGCCATCGCGGCACCCGGTCCACCTCACGGAGCCGGTCCCCCTGTGACGGAGGCGCCGGAGGCGCTGCCGGAGGCGCTGGCGGTGCCGGGGGCGCTGGGGGTGCGGGTGGCCTGAGAGCTCGGCAGCGACGCGCGCCAGACATCCCCGTCTCTTCTCCCAGCTCTTGGTCAAGCACGGAGCAGCCGGAGGGGCAGCCGGTGGCGGATTGAGCCCCTTGCACCAAGGTTGTGTGAATGTCTCTTCAGTTCGCATGGTGAGAAGCGACTGGCGACAGAACCTGCGTGGTCACGCCCGGCCTGCACATGCTCTCACACACAACCAAGCGTTGCTCGTTCCGTGGTTCTCCTTGTGATGCCGTGCTTCTCACTGCGGACTCAGGGCCATGCATGCCCCCGACTTGCTCCTTCGCCTGCTCGTCCGTTGCCGACAGGCAGCGCTGCAAGCAAAAGGTGGGGCCAATCATGCAGTGTTGCCTGCTCGATCTGCTGCTCATCACCTTTCTTTAGCTGCACCTGGCCGCTGCGATTGCAGGATCGGGCAACACCACTCGGAGGCCACAGGTAGGTCTTGCAATGACATCCTTGAAGTTTGGCATCGGTTTCCTATGTCCGATGATCGAAGCATCAGCGACGGCTCTTTGGAATGCCTGAAAGACATCTTCATACAGATGCCGAGGCTCCTGTAGACAAAGGGTTCGATAAGTGTACTATGTCGCCCTAAACTAGCAGCTGGCAACTCCGCCAGCTTCCACAATGCTGGACAGAAGTTGAAAGGACTTGTTGCAAGCTACTGCTCCTCCAAGGTACAGTGCCTGCCTTCAACCACTTGCCTTCCACCGGAAAGCCATGCCTCACCACAACGTGCGTAGAGCAAAAGCGACACTGCATGCACAAACTGAATGTGCACAAAGGCCGTGGCATCCCTGCAATGGCAGCCTGAACGGAAGGCCAAGTGCCTAAAGATAACATGGAGGACTTCGTGGGGCTGGACTGATGCCTGAGCTGATGCTGGTGCATCGAAGGATACAAACCCAAAGCCGCGTGGCCGGCCGCTGTCGTCCTTCTGCACCCTGCACCGGCCCGAGCAAATGAGCATGCTAGCACCATTCATGCATGCTTTCAGCTGTGGATGACGCACCTGCAACTCAGAATCTTTCCGAAATGCTCGAAGTGCTGGCGAAGGATGTCTGGCAGAAAGCTTGCTAACAGGTGGAATGACAAATCCAGCTTCTATACCGGTAAGCAGAAGTCCGGCCGCCAATCACCGTGACACGACAACTTCGCTTTTTCAAGCAGTTTGCACTGGCGCAAGGTCTACATGCCATGTGCTGGGCTATCTGCAGGCAAACTCATGGATCCCACGCCGCGTCAGCACCCGTCGCTTGAGTTACGTGGGAACATGGACAACTCAAGCTGCTAGAGTCCTAGAGACTCGTCCGAGGGCCAGGCGGTCATCCCAACTGTTTGGAATATGGTAGACCTCATCCATCCAACATCTGGGTAGGTGACCAATAGGAGGAAGTCTGAGAGCCGCACGAAAAGATTGGCACCAACAGGACCAGAAGTCGTTGAGCCCGCAGGCTCACTGCCCTGGGCCCGGGCTCTGTGAGGTGTGAAGAGGAGGGCGGGTCACGGGTCGTCGACATGCGCTGCCGCAACGGAATCTTGCGCTGCTCGAATAGCTGCTTGCGCCTGGTCACCATGGCCGCAGGCTCGAAGAACACTACACGCCAAATCGAACTTGCCTGAACTCCTGGATTTGCCGATCTCTGCGCACCTCGGCCTGAGGATGTTGACCGCTGCGGCTTTCTCACTCCGTCGGAAGACAGATACCGACTCTTGTGCTGTTTGCCAGGCTTTCGCTGCTGCCAGCCGTCGCGAAGTGTCGGTTTTGAAAACGTGGCACGGAAATTGAAACAAGTTCGTTTTCCTTTTGTAGGGCGTATTGTTGCTTTTGCAGCAGATTTGCGGGATGTGTTGCAGGCTCTACTTCTTGACATAATACTGCCTGAAACATCGGCCTTGCTTAGATGCTGCGGGCATGAGCGGACGAGCCATGAGCGGGATGCATGTGTGCTTTGCTTTCAAGGCCGGACTGCGTTTCGCCGCCCACTCGATCCAACATAACAAAAAACTCTGAAGGTCTAAAGCGACCCGTCTCCGTTCCGCTTCGTCCAACACTGCTTGCTTGCTGCAGTTTCCCTGGGTGGTGGCATGGAGCCCGCGTCACACAGGCGAGACGTGACAGCACGGGAGATCAAAACACTTTCGAGCAAAGGAGCACCGTTCTATGATCCTGCCTCGAGCTCTTAAGCACGGCATGCAGCAGATAAGTCAATGCTTTGACATCAACAGAACAAGTCACCGGCTGTCACTTCCAACAACATCAGATCATCGTGGAGGCTGCGGGGTACAGCGCAAAGCGCCACCTGCTTGCCTGTGTGCTCTCTCCTTGCTTCGCTGGGTGCTGCCAAGGACTGCTAGACATCCTGAACTCATGCCAACATGACCACAGCCCCCAAACCCTAAACCCTAAAATCCCAAACCCTTAGAAGCGCAAACTCAGGAACCCTGATGGCCCTGATCTAAACCCTTCAATCCACTCTTGCCAATCCCGAAACCTGAGCAGCTCCCAGCCTTAGAGTTTAGAATTACACTTGAAGATATCAAAATGGAGCTGTGGTTGTTCTTGTGTTTCAGTCTTTAGGATGCAAAACTCCCGCACAACCCTTCTGCCAATGCTTCCGCAGCCTTCCTCGCCTCGATATGTTGACAAGTTTTCGACTCACAGCATGTTGTCGGGGCCCTTCCACGGACCGCTTTGCAAGCGACCCCGAGAAAGAAGACATCTTTCGTATTACGCCAGTTCCTTTCGTTTGTACAGGAGCATCTTCGCATCTTCAAGCAAGTTCGAACTCCATGTAACTTACGTGAACCTGCAGCATGATGCAACCGTCACAAGCCATGGCTTACGTACTCGTCGCTTGCGCTTACTTCCGCAGAGCAACACATCCGTCCCTCCCAGCGTCCCAGAGAGGCTTCCAGATGGTCCAGTTCTATAGTCTTCCGGAAAAGGAACACATTCAATTGCCGCCACCCAGTTGAGGTTTGTTGGTGGACTCCGATGCCCCTAAATTGAAGAAGGTTCTGCATGGTCGCTGGGGGCCTTACGCAACCCCCCGAGACCCGGACCCAAACTATGAAACCTGAAGCTAAACGAAGAAGACGCAACATACCGACAACTGAGGCGGATAGCCCAAAAATAATTGACGCAGATACGCCGAACAGGCAAGGCCGGAGGAAAAATATGGAGATAGCATCCGCACGGCACGGACAACCACATGCACACCAATATAGAACATGACAAGTCTCAGCAAGTCTCAAGAACGGAGCCTGCCATCATCTGCGCAGCCTTGCAAGACTAAGATCACACGTGTAAGCGGGACGAGCAGAACACATCAGCAATTTCGGCTCAGTGTGGCGCAGAAGGAAACTCTGGGGGCGGCTTGATCCACAGAGTTTGCCGCGTTACTGCGTGATAGTAATAGACCTGCCCAGCTCATTGCATGACAGCTGTACATAATTGCGAACCTCACGCGTCCACAGAAGCCCCTCCTGACCCTCCTTTGTTCTGGCTTCCTTCCATGGGCTGTCCTGCTACGTGAACGACGGATAACTGAAAGGACCTGCTACCCCGCAGCAAAGCTGTCCTGATCGTTGGTGCTCCGAACTTTGCCAAGCAAGCCCTCGCCGAGGGCCTGGCTTAAAGTATTGCGCGGCAGCCGAATGAACCGGGTGACACCATGAAGGAAAGACTTGCATTCCGAAAGGCAGCATCGACGATAGTTGAAGTCCCTACCAGGGGCTTGCCGTCCAGTCGATCACGTGCTGCCTCTCGGTGGCTCGAACTTTCAGCATGCGACTGTCAGGTCTACAAAGTATAAGTAATAAGGCTTCTGGTACGTGCGGAATGAAGACTACTCGGGCAGATAACTATGTCAGCCTAGGACTGCTTGCGGCACAGGCACACTTTTTCCGTCTGAAACAATAAGCAAAGGCCGTTGTCCCGGCCAGGGGTTTCCAAGCCACTGCAGCCACTGCACTTTGCAATGGATTCTGCTCCACCTAAGTCCGGCTCAGGCTGCGATGTTCGCGACCATGAGCCAGCAAGAAAGATCTCACCCAGCAAACTGGCATCCAGAACACCTCCGAGTTTGAACGCGTCATCTGCTACAATCGTCCACCATGCCGGACACTTTGCCTGATGCAGGCACCAGCTGCTGTGATGCCGGCGCGCACTGCGTCCTTTCCGGTTCTGTCCACAGCCGAAGCAGTTCCCGAGGCGTTTTCGAGACCTTCATGTTGTCGTCTGTCAACTTGGAGGCCAAGGGCACATCCTGGAGAGAGTATCAAACGAGGTTCAAGCTATTCTGCACTCCACTCTGCTCGACGTCTGTCCTCAAGCTTTCGCTTACCCGCACTTTCAGAAGAATCGACGGCTTCTTCTTGAGCAAGTGCCTCATTGCAACGGCGGGGTGGCAGGATGCATTGATTCGAGGGGCTCGAAGCAGAACTTAGTCATAGGACGAAAGAAGAGAGGTCATGCTAAGCTCTCCGTACTTCTGACAAGGTGCTGCCAGGCTCTGCCAGATGGCTTCAAGAAAGCCGCCCATGAACGAATCCCCAGCACCTCGCCGCAGAGCCGAAAAGCTTCACTCATGGCCTGCTGTCGGCTGCCAAGTTGAAGGCCCACATCGTCCACGAACTCCTTTCAAGCGGGCGTAGCTCCATCAAAAAGCTTGCAACCGGCGGGCACCGCTTCTGACATGCCTCCGGGGACACTGGTGGAACTGGCACTTGGAAGAGCGAGGTGTCCTTACCGACAGCCAAACTTAAGACGTGGTGACGTGTTGCAGCGGTCATGCATCCAGCTGAGAACTGTGCTGACTTTGAACGGATGCAGCCCACACCTTTCGAGCCGCGAGTGCCGATCATCCAACCTCGCTGCTTCCATCTCGCAATCACCTTTGCAAGCAGCTATGCACCCACCCCTGTACGATGCACATTGCACACGTGTGTGATGCTGGCCGGCACTGGTAGATACACGTGCTGGCATTGGGCAGGTTTTTTCGGGAAACAGGTCCGTCGGATATGCCCGCGTTTGTGACATCACCACCTAAACTTTGAGGTCGCAGCTGCCATTGCATCCTCGTAGGTTTCAGGGGCGGGCTTGGACGCTGCCTTGGAAGACTCTCGACGTCTATAGAGGGTGTGGATTTATCTGACCTGCCTTGCAAACGGAGGATGCCAGATGTATAGCCTCGACTTCGTTGGCGAAAGTGAAGTCAGCCGAGCGAGCGGCCTCCTGAACCGGCAAGAGTGACGCGATCGCTTTGACAAATTGACATGACCGTCTTGGGAGCTTTGAAGGCTCCTGGACACAGGCGATGTCTGTGCACCATTCAGCACCCACAGTGATCGCGAAGATGGGCAGGATTCGACCTTGCACGGCGGGGCCCCGGCAGGCGGAAACTGGCCGAAGGCAGCTTCACACTGAGACAGGCGCCGCCTGTGGCTGCAACATGTGGCTTGGAGCACCAAGCCAGCATGGCAGCCAATCCTGCGTGCGCAGCGTCGGGGCGAACATCATATCTCCTCGCAGGGCTCCTTCAGGATCTGCTTGGGCATAAAACCTGGCATGACATCGCATGCTCATTGTGTCCAGTGCCTTCTCGTCTAAAAGTACGCCAGCGCGCCCAGAGGTGACTGCAACCTCATTGATCAAGGAAGTGCGTGCAGCGGGGCATGTGCTGCAAGTGGAATCCAAGCTCTCCGCCCATGCCTGCGGTGTAGTAGTCTTGATAGATGCCTCTTCATGGCTTCGAGCTTTGAACCAACGCTTAGCTAACGGCGTGTTGGCCAAAACTTCTACTGAAGGTGCAGCAGCGGCCCCTTTTTTTGGTCGTTGCGCAAACATCGCCCGGCCGGGCACAACTCGGTGCCGTTGCTGGGGTGCACCCACGCCCCACCAGGCGCCGGCACCTACTACATGGCAAGATCAAGCAGTCTCTCAAACGCGCCATGACAGGCGAAGTCGACGTTAGCGGCCGCTTCGCCGAGGACCTTCATAACCTCATCCACGGGTGCCCTCACCCGCATCCAGCCCTCAGCCCGTGCCCGGGATCGGGAGTCGTCGCCCCGAGACACGGCGTCCGAGACGTTCGTTGCCGAAGAAAATCGTCGGAACTCGGGCGACCATGGCGATCAGCTGCCAAGCCCCAGAACTCGTTGACAGAGGGATACTTGCCGTAGCCCTTCATGAGGGCGAACTGCCCTGCGGCGTTTTGTCGATGAAGGCAGGCGCCGGGCGAACGTGACGAGAAGCAAGACCTGGGCGACGATCTCCGGGAAGTAGATGAACGCCTTCCGAGCGGCGAAGGGGGCGTCTACATATAGGACCGGGAAGGGGCCAGTCAGACGCCCGCCTCGGCCACTAGGCTGCGAGGGTCCATGAGCAAGGCTCTCAAGCCAAGAGACAGTGCGTCATCAGATTCGGCGGCCGTGTCCGCCGCCCTGGAGTCGCGCGGCTTGATGGCCGCTCGGCCCGTCAATCTGAGCCAAGACGGCCCTGCCCCATCGCAGTGGGCCGCAGTGCGACCCCCTCGCGTTCCAAGGAAAGGTCGTCTACCGAGCAAGGCGAAAAAGCCAGCGACTGCATAGTGGTCCTCGTCGGAAAAGGAGTACCGTTAAATTTTAAAGTCGTCGACGAAGTGGCCAAGGAGAACCAGCAGGATCGCCCGGACGAGCATCTGCACCGCGTCGGCCGCCCGGTTGAAGATCGAAGCACACATGGCGAAGTGAGGCGCTTGACCGCCCATTGGCGGTCGGCGCTTCCGCTCAAGCCCGCCGTATGAGGTCGACGATGTCGCCCAGAAAGTGGTGGGTGGGCGCGTCGGAAGCCCCGGGCCCATAGTGGCGTTGTGGCGGCGCCAATCTTCGCCACGACGAGGTTCAAGTTTCTGTGTTCGTCCACCTAGCAGATGGCGAATAGAAAGGGTGCCCATGTCGGCGCTGTCGTCGCGACGACCCTGCCCAGGCGAGTCTGCCAGACGCCGCCCTCCCCGACGAGCGGCGGCGGCCAGAACGTGAGCAGGGAGAGCTCCTGCTCGTTGCAACGACCACAGACGGCGAGGCCATTGTCAGCGTGGTCGTTGAGCGGCCGATGGACAACACCGACCCATGGCCCCAGGAGAACCCTGGGCCGGAGAAGGGAGGACGTTGTGTGGACCGCCACGGTGGACCCGCCACAGTCGATGGTGCCCCCCAGGGCCAGAGGCGCCGCCCGGCCCGCAATGTGGGGTGCCATGGCGGTCCAACCTGACGAGGACCGCAAAGAGTGGGGCGAAGGCGCGGAGGGCGAGAAGCAAAATGTGCTGGGGCGATCGAACTCAACCGATACAACTTCACTCGGCTTGCTGCCGTCCGTTTGGACCGTCGCTTCGCGAAAGGCGAAAGGGTCCAGTGGAGCGAAGCCAGGCGTAGGCGAGGATGGCGATCCCGGCTCACCAACAGCCGTGCCGCCCGACACGGCCTCCTCGGCGATCTCCACACCGCCCGACATAGGCACGTCCACCGGCGAAGAGGTAATCGGCGGAGACGGCGAAGTAGTGCCGCCCGCCACCTCCAAGCCAGCCACCTCGGCGAAGTCGGCCCAGGCGGCGGCGTAGGAATCGGCGCCGGAGGATGCCATGATGTCAAGGCGGGGCGAAAGGCAATGGGGAGATTCGACATTAGGCGGTCGCGCCGGGATGCTGCCGCCGACCGCATGCGTTTGTTCTTACGTGCATGAATGCACTACACCGCAAGTGGTCTCCAGATATCTGATATATCCAGTGGCCCTGCCTGCAGCATCTCCATCCGGCTGATCCATCCGGCAAAGCCGTCTGTCCTAGGTGCTCGAATGTGCTCGGCTAGGCTTGAAGCTTGAATCAGTTGAGGCCTCTGCTTACCATCCAAATGGAGAGTTTTGCTGATGCCAAGATGCGTCACCATCGTGCGAGCCTTCGCACTCGGTCGCACTCGACATTTCTTCTTGAGTCTTGAGTGCGGAGAACTTGCCCAGAGCGATGCGAAGAAAAGGTGCAAAGCTGCAAGGCTCTACACCCGCCTTGTTTGCCAATAGGCAACAACACACACCTTGATCACAGATAGGTGGTCCGTGTGTTTTTGAATCAGGACGAACCCAAAAAAATGATCTCGGAGAAATGCCGCTGGTGTTGGTGAGGTTGTCGTTGGGCTCCTCTTTCCTAGCAGCTGCAATGCAATCTGCTGGATTCATCTTTGCGACGCAGGCCGGCAGACTCCCCGGCAGACCTTGCAGGTCGGCCCAGCATCGGCTCAACTCCAGCCGCTGAGAGCTCTGTGTGCAGCCTGTGGATTCTGGATGGGCAGCACCGGACTCAAAGTGCCCCCGCCCAGGTAAGCCTGTCTCCGGCAGCATCGTGCCCAACCATCCCTCAGACTCTAAAGAGCTGAACTCCGCACGAATGGACCCGGCCAAACAGATGCACTCTGAGCTCTGTCACCCAACATGATTCTTCGCGGCTGCTGGCAATCTGCCTGTCTCCTTAACCTGATCGCAACATACTTTGCGCATGACCACTGGCTCGCAACGGCTAAAAAATGCTCTACGGCACCACCAAGAACCGGCTCGAAGACTGTTGGCGATCACGCCGCCAGGTGTCGTACTGGCCTGAGACATGCTAAGGCGAAGACGACTGTCCACTCTCCAGAACTGCAGGTATTGGAACATCGAGGCACCGGCGTTGCCAGCCTCGGCTCTGCTCAGCATGTCTTTCACCAGCGGCATGTGCCTCTCCTGCAACATTTTCCCACAAGACATCACAAACGATCAAGAGGCCACCAGCACAGCCTCCGCCAAGCATTGTGTGTTCGCTTCGACCTCAAGAGCCAAGAAGATCTCTGCTAGGCCACGTGACGTGGAGACCTCCAGCTTGGGAACCTGATAGCGCTTCAGGATGTCGGGCTCATCGTCTATGGACACCACGACATCCTTCGGCTGCAACTTGTCTACCACCACTGAAGGCAAGCCCTGCAGAAGTCCAGCAGCACGTTGTCGACGCCCACAATCATCCCCTGCCACGTCCAGGACCAGGATCTGACACTGGCTATTCCTTGTCTGCACCTATCACACTAAGGGCACCTTCCACAAGCCTGTTTCGATGGTGCGTGGGTGGCCGAAGCCACAGCTGGACAGCCACTGCCGGCTCAAGCGCCGCGTGTCTACGGTGCTGCAACAATGCTTGGATGCCTAAAGGTTTGCAACTTTTGTGGCTCTTCTCTCTTCCATTCTCTCAAAACAATTATCATGTGTGCTGCTCCCTGTCACTGCCATAAATTACCAGTCGAATGCCTGCGCGTGATGTGCTTCCGCCCCAGCGTGCACTGGGACTTCGAGCCGCAGCATGGCACAGAGACGCCCTGCAATAAGCGTCTCAAGCACACGACTTGCACGGCGGCTAGACATGCCGGGACAAAGGCTGCCGATACTGTTCAATCTACCTACAGCCTTGGCAATCTCGGGCGTGGCAAACGCGAGAATGGCCCAACCAGGTCCTTCTGGATCTGCGGGACGGAAGCTCACCTGACAGCAGCAAACACTACTTGCACCAACTTGCCATGATAAGTCTTGCACCTGCAGAACCTCATCCGGTCGCCCGGCTCCGGTCGCAATCTTGCAGCAGGCTTTGGCAAGGACGAAATTGCTGTGCTTGTCACGCCCCGTCGCACCAGACCTGTTGCTCTGTCACCGCTGGCGGGATCTTGTTGAGGATGACCTGCCAATGCCAGCACCAACAACAGAGCACAAGTCATTGACGTGAGTAGCTGAGTAGCCATTCTATCAGGGCAGATGTCATCGGGAGCGACCAATCGCCAAGACTATTCGATTGGAGGCACAAGCAGACGCGCATGCACTCACCTGATTCTTGCAAGCACCGGATTCGTGCCCAGGAACCGTCGCGCACTTGACAGTGGATTCTTTTTCAAACCTGCACTTGCAGATACGAGAAAACCCTCCACCTTGCAACCTAGACCACATACTCCAAGGGTTTTCTCGGCCCTGCAACCCTAAACAACCCTAAACCCAAGCCCCAAGCCAAACCAACAACTCTTGACCCTCCCGAACCCTCAAGCCACCCTGGAGCCCCAAACCCTCCAACCCTAAAAACCCGAAAACATGAAATTAAAAATGAATAACTCGGAATCCTAAAGACCAAAGCACGCAAGAACTCACAGGCTTACTCTGGATACCATGAAGCTGAGAGTTCATTCGCTGTCAGGCACCATAAGGACGGTCTCGAACAGCCACCCCAGATCACATCAAATTAGATATATCGGATATCTCCCAAACGGTCATGCAAGGTAGATGATGCTGACAACATCGGGCCGACACTCGCCACACTGCCAACCGCTGTATTGCACAAAAACTACATCATGTAGGAACTCCCCGGCGTTGCGCCTCCCAGACACGCGTGGGAGTACCCTTTTCGCAAGCTCCAGGCCTCAAACTCCCGAATTGTGTGCTCCCCCGCGCGGCGGGCCCCTTCCCAGCAGCATGCGTGGGAGTACCCTTTTGCAAGCTCCAGGCCCGAATTGTGTACTCCCCCGCGTGGNNGGCCCCTCCCCAGCAGCACGCGTGGGGGCACCCTTTTCGAAAGCTTCAGGCCCCAAACTCCCGAATTGTGTACTCCCCCGCGTGGCTCCGTGGCCATTCCCCCGAGGCTCCAAAATGTGTTGTGCTCAACGCTTTTGGGACTGGGGGATTGGAACCGCCAGGAACCGCGAACTGAACCGCAGGAACCGTCGGAGAAACCGAATCGCATGAACCTGAACCGCCTTTTCAAAACCGCAACCGAACCGAACCGAACCGTTACATTCATGTACATGCACACACAGGCGACCACATGTGTGAACAAGGACGCCAGATGATGCCTCAATCGGCTTGGGCACGTTACACCGTTCTTGTATGCTTGGCATATGGAAAAACACCTGCCACACCAGGAATGACATCATCGGCGTCCTCTTTGAGTCAACGTGCTGTGGGTGGCAACCCATTCCATTCCAGCAATGAACGAGATGAGTGATGTAGCAGTCGCTTCAATTCTTTATCTGAGGTCCGTATGCTTCCTGGAGCTTGCTTGGGGCAGGCCTTACACGTAATCATGCGCCAGTTGTTTCAGTCGCATGCTGCAAGCCTTGAGCAACATGCAACAATATGCACATATTGGGGAAGATTGAAGAAATCTACAATGAAGATGTAATTCGGCAGCGATCTAAGCCTTTTCGCAACTGTTTCAACGGCTCAAGGGCCCTGAAAGGAAAAGGCCACGGTCACAGCACTCCTGAACATTCGCTCATGGTGAGCTACTGAAGAAAGCAACGGAAAGAGCTCGCACACCTGAACTGTTGGCACTGGCATGGGGTTTTGGTGTTATGCTTCACATCACCAGAAGTCTGTCACCCATGCGCTGTGCCCTCGAACTTTAAAGTTCTACCGAAAACTGGCCACAAAAGGTAACTACTCCCTCAAAAGGTAGTTGTAGGTGCGGAGAAAGTAGCACATGCGGACCATGGTGCACGGGGAGCTCGGTCATTGCCAGCTCGCCTTCGTCGAAGTAGTGGCCGGGGCTTCCAAGAGCTTCGAATGGATGCCCATCTCTTTCATCAAAGCCTTCATGCCATCCATGGTGAGGGCATAGCGGCTCTCGTTCAGGATAGCTCTCAGCAAAGTGCTGTTTCCGAGCTTCTTGGTCAAAGGGTCTGCAAGCATCCAGTCACCAGGGACCCAAAACGTCTTGCAGGCCAAACTTCGCAAACTCGCTGCGATCACAGCTGCGTCCACCTGGGCTCTTCGGTCCTGGCCGGCGCTGCTGCCAGATTGCCTCTGGAGGTGGTCAAATAGGGCGCGGGCATCGGTGACGATGATCGACTGGTCGTC